GGCGTACAGAAAAGACGTTAGATACTTTTTCTGATTTTTTTTAACTATACACATACCGCACTGGAAGAAAAAAACACATTGGATCTAGAGTCCAGACTCTTAAAAACATCGACAAGAAAAAATACTCTTAATTCAATCGGATTTTTGCTTTAATCAAGAACCAAGTCTCTTAATTTGAGCTGATTTCCTTTTGATTTAAGCAATAATCTGATTGAATCAAGAGTATTTTTTCTTGTCAATGTTTTCAAGAGTCTGGACTCTAGATCCAATGTGTTCTTTTTTCCAGTGCGCATATACCAGTCTTAGAGACCGAAAGTTCCGGGTGTAGTACCCGTTGCGCCGACCACTGAACCCAAAATGGAGGTGTGGCTACATAGCCCGCAAGTACGGCTTTTACAGCCTGAGTTTTTATTCTTTCAGTGTAACGATTCAGTTTCAAAACCATGCATTGCGGGTGGCAGGCATCGCGGCGCCACGAGACGCGGGGTCAGTAAACTCGCGGCGCGGCGCGGCGGTGCGCGGTGTGGCCGGCGCCCGTGAAAGAGGATTTGCATTCGGACAGGGGCATGGAGTTCAAACACAACTTGCACGCCATCCCGTCCCGTGCTCGACGTCCACCGTCCAAACACACTCACACTCTGATCAAACAAAGGAGCTTCGCGGCTCCTACCTCCGAGGAGTCCGGGAAAATAACCCGCGATTACGTCCATTTTCACTCACTCACGCCTCCGTGCTAAAATCTCAACTCGAGTCGAGTAGGGCCTCTAGTGCATATTCATGGTGTTGGAATTGGCTTGAGAGGTTTTCTTCACTACTTACCTTTCCCAACCTCAGAATTCTAAACAATATTCCCAACGAAATTGAGCATATTTAGCAAAGTATCGGTCAAATGCGTGACGCATAGTGGGTCGAGTCAATCAGAAACGTCGGACATGAAATGTGACTAAAACTGTAAATTTTGATGTTGACTTCGTCACATTTAATAATTTGAGGGGTGCCTCTATAAGAAAATTTCACTAGGAAACCATTGGAGCCATTTTTAAAATTTCATTGTTTTCAATGAACGGAGTTATAAGCTTTTAAAGTTTTCAAATTTTGTCCGACCTCTTCCATTGACTCAATCCAATGTCTGGCGTTTATAATGAATGCACGAAACAGTGTTTGAATCAGAAGGCCCGGGCCCCGGTACCATGGACCCAGTATCCTCACCCTTGTGACGGGCCTGGCCCTCAAAACTCGATTTTCAATGATTCTCCGGATAGAGATAGTAGACGGGTGATCTGGATCACCCGGCATATAGAGCAATTTTTTCAAATTAACCGCATAAATTAATTGGGCACACTAAAAGAAAAGTGCAAATCCTATTTTTTCCGATTTCCCCTTCCCAATGTTCACATACTTGTTTATGCTGAATCCCTGATAAAACTGACCGGTAAAACAATGTCATAGTTAAATTTTTACTGGTCTTATGTGATGCCTGGAGAAGATTTAACAGGTGTCACTTAAATTCAGTATGAAATTTAACATTCGACGCTACTGTCATTTCGACGCTGTTCTATCGGTCATTTTTATAAGGAAACTTTCACATTAATTTTTTTTGCAGTTAGATAGCTGGACGTAATTATTTCGACACATTTTGATTTTTTGTTGCAGGTCTCCGTTATGATGTTCCTACAGTCATGCACAGGGTAGCACCTCTACTATTATGCAGATTGGTTATCATCTCTAACCTACTTCTTGCCCTTGCTCAAAGTAAGTTTCGTTTTAAACCTAATTTTTAGTTTTAAAGATCGAAAGTCTTTCCCTCTTCATCAATTTTCTTCCCGAGAAAGGCTGCATCGGAGATTTAAACTCGTTCTCGATTAACCTCAGTGCGGATTTTTTTCAGATCTTACTCAATAATATCGAATTGTAAGAGGTGCGAAGAGCNGGGGGGGGGGGGGGGGGGAGATCGCGAAGGAGTGAGGGGGCGTTGCCTCCTAGTTCAATTTTAAAATGCTGAAAAAAACAAACCGTGACCGAAATTTGAAGATTTTCCTGCATGACTGGTTGTTCAGGTATCAGACAAAATTTATGATTTTTCTATCTCAATGTAGCTTGATCACTAAAATCTTGTACTAAATCACTTCGAGATCACTAACCCTCGCTCTCAGAGGCCGCGAAAAATCCAAGAAGGTCATGTTTGTTTACGTTCGAGCAGTGGCGCCCAGTGGAAAAACACTTTACGAGAGGTATCCTATTTTCGGAGTCATCAAAAATTGACAGCGAGGGAGAGACAATGACACGTAACCACTTTAATTGTTACATGCGCTTCCTAGTTTTTGTTTTCGGCTTTGGTGCACGGCGCGAAGTTAACTGTACCAAGCAAATGCAGCTTCGATCCCTCGCACGTCGATCGATTCGATCGCGTATAAGGGATGTCGAGCTGAGTCGATCTATCGTTTACAGAGTATCGATCTGCCGGATGCTCCAGTTTGATCTTCGATTTCACGGCCGAGCCGATGTTGACTGAGGAGTCGCCTCCGAAAGGAAGACTCGGCAACTGTATGGGAACGCTAAAACAATAACAACAACAAAGGCTAGCCCGAAGAAATGAGTCCAATTGCCCGTTGCAATTAACTGGAATTGTCGCACGGTTACCATTGATCGAGACCCGGTGTCGATTTTCGGGCGCTGCAGCGTGTGATGATGCGCGATCGGTCTCATTTTATCGGACGCAACCCGAATCTAGCCACGATGGGCATGCTCCGAGGAAAGGAAGACCGTCGAAACTTGCTGATGATGGAGTTTTTCTTGCACGCACGCGTCGAAGTAATTGTGATTAATAATTTGGCAGAGTTTTTAAGCGAACTGCTTGCCAATTGGATTCTTCACCGCATTCACTAAAAAAAATTCTCGGCGTTTTTACCAAGGTCCGTTGGTACCTTTACCATCTCACTTTTTTTTACCACTTTTTGGTAATTTTACCAAGACAGACTGGTAAACTTACCTAAAAACCGGTATTTTTACTGTTATTTCAGGTAATAATACCACTTTTATTGGTAATCAATTCCCGGTAACTTGGCCATTTTATCTCGGTAAGTCTACCACAGTCGATAAAAAATATTTGGGTTTTTACCGGGGTCCAGTAAAATTACCGAGAAAGTTCAATAATTTTACCGAGATTTCTCGGTAAAATTACCAATTCCATAAATGTTAATTATACCAAGAAAAAACTTGGATCAAAAAGAACCTGGAATTCTTGGTAATTTTACCCTTTTCTTGGTAAATACACCGATATTTTTTTTTAATGTGAGCATGGGTGTGGCCTTAAATTATTGTTAGAAATTTCAGCATTATTCGATTGGAATTTTTTTGATAAATCCTACTAATCCACGCAATTGTTTTCGTGGATTTTTCACGGGTTATCGCAGGAGTTTTGAAGTCCTTCAGAGGTCTTCTATAATTGTCAAAACGGGTATGGTTTTTTCTAGCAATTTAGCATAAGGACGCACAAAAGCGCTCGTGGTTCAATGAGGAATTTAGAAAATCTGGTTGTTCAAACTATATTTAGTGCCTTAACATCTCTAAAAATAAGACTTAAATAAGAGAGAGACTTTGGCAACATGTGAAAGAAATTAATTAGCGACCGTCTCAACTGGTCAATCCTTCTGAAGAGTGGTCATGCTGCTAGTGGAGACACCAAAAAGTGGGTTTGATGGCACCATCAACGGCATTGTCACACCTTGCCGTTCATATCGCACGTACGGTTAAGTCGGATGTATTTTAGGAAAGATAGTCTGCAAATGTTCCACGATCTGCAACAATGTTGGGATTTCGCACATTCACAATGGAATCCTCTTTCCTAGATAAACGTAGAGATAGATGAGATCTACATGTAGATATAGACAGGACTCCCTATAGAAATGAAGCGCTAGGCGTAGAAAAGGCAAATCTTGGTTACGGTGTCTCAAAATCTCAGCTAACGTGTCATCCATTATAATCAAAGCAAATGTATATAATTTGTTGTAAATTTACTGGATATTCTTCATGATTTTACAGTTGCAAAAATGTAAAATTTCAGAAAATTCACCCAATGGTTTACTCTTTAAAACAAAAATTAGCACTGGGGATTCTGAAACACCGCAACCTAGGAAAGCCGTTTCTGCACCCAACGCATCAAATTTGGTTGATCAACCAACCAAGTCCTTTTTATTGATCATACCAAAAAATATTAATTCAAAGTAACCCTAAGTAAACGTAAAAACGGACATTTTTAACTGTGTATTACTTTCGACAAGATTTTTGCCAAAGTGCACTGGAAAAAAAACACACTGGATCTAGAGTCCAGACTCTTGAAAACATTGACAAGAAAAAGGACTCTTGATTCAAGCAGATTTAAACTTAAATCAAAAGGAAATCCGCTCAAATTAAGAGGCTTGGTTCTTGATTTAAGCTTCAATCTGATTGAATCAAGAGTATTTTTTCTTGTCGATGTTTTTAAGAGTCTGGACTCTAGATCCAATGTGTTTTTTTTCCAGTGTGCGTTGTGCATTACTTATTTTCTCTATCTTAAACACTGCAAAATTCACTCCAACTCACTGCAATTATTTGCCGTTACATGTTTTGATTCATATTCGAGGGAATCTGGACTCATGTCACTGAGCGTCGAATTCAAGCGGTGGCGGCGCGCGGCGTCCCGACGCGACGCGACGCAGTGACGGGCGACCATCATTGCGGCCGTGCCCCAGCCAGACCTAGTCCCAATTGTCGCCGCGAGATCCCTAATCTAGCATGACGTCTAGAAAGCATCCCAGCTTGATCGCACTTGCCACCGCCCCATCCCCCTCTTCGCCTCTCGACTGTTCACGTCGCAGCAATCTGTCGCAAATTGAGTTATTTTGTCACTTACACGCCGTTTTCAACCGTCCGTTCCTGCGCTGAGATCTGGCTCTATCCCGCGGATGGTCCTGGGTCCCGATAGAAGCGCCCGAAATACCCTGTATTCAGCAAGTCAAAAAATTATTCTCGCTTTGTTGATTTGTTGTTGTTGTTGTTTTTTTTTTTATTATTTTTTTTTATAATCGCGAGGAAACTTACTAGTATTGTTGCCTAACATTATGCGGTGAAAAATCATGTATTGACGTGGTAAGGAAGAATGCCGAATGAGCCTTCAGACATTGCCACATGTCTTTCAATCAAAAATGATTTCTAAGGGAAATCAGCGAATAGTTTTCCTCGAAATTTTCGGAGAATTTTTTTTTTTTTTTTTTTTTTTTTTTTTTTTGCGATCAGATCTAAATTACCTGAAAATTTCAAGAGAGAATACTCGTCAACCTTCACAACTATAACAATTTTATTGGAGGAAATTCGGCCTTTCTCGAATTTTCATACGGCATTTTTCCTTGGCACAGCAGTTTAGGTCGCCGTTGTAAACTTTGACTAGAGCAAAAAAAAAAATGTGATTCCTTATGGCATATTGCTAAAACATCATGATGAGCCTACCGGGAACCTCTTCAACTAACTTCATAACTTCCGTGAGGAGTCTCAGCATGTTTAAGTTCCACTTTCAAAAAGTATTCAGTAATTTTGATAAAATCCTCGGTACAGTCAGATTTACGAATGAAGCTTCTTGTATACTATCCTATCTCGTAAAGCCTTTTTTCAGTTCTGGAAAAAGTCAGAAATTACAATGCGCGACTTCCGGGCCCTTGTCTTTCGGTCAAAGTTTGGCGAAATGTGTTCAGCAAGTTCTTAATTTGTAGGTTATGGGTTGATCCACGCAAAACCCTGCAAACCACAATTTGCTACTTTCTTTTTTTGGCTCCTACGGTGGACCGATTCAAAACTTTTGGGATATCTTATGTAGTTTAAGAAAAAAAGCATGACGCCTATGATTATTATTTCATACACGATTATTGCACCATTTTTCTCCTTGAGAAACCAAAATAACACCGGTCCAAGGGGCCAGATTATGCTTATACTCCAAATCAGCAACAAAGACCGTAAAAATCCGAGCCAGGAGATTACTCGGGCACAATTTGGCCTCCCTGGAAACCAAATGCCGAAATGTTCTTATTGAATCTATCTCTCTTGCACCCTTATTGAGTGTGATCAATCATATTCCGCTCACAATGGTACGTTATCCGTAGAAACGAGCGTTCATTTCTTTCGAAATTGGGACGCTAAATCGTCGATTGTCGATTAACCCATCAACGAGGACTGATTAAGTTGCTTACCTGATCAAAGCTTGACAATTCAATGCATCGTTTAATTTTCTGTGCGGTATTTTGAAATTTTGAAATTAAAATTTGAATGGTTTCGAAAAAATCAGCGTCGAGATCAGGAGGTTTGATTGGCCCTTGACCGTTACACAATTAATTACTTATTCTGCAAGTTGGCCGTAACGCAAAACAGGGCGGTGTAACCAAACACCCAACAGGGAGCAAAGTGGCATTCCTGCGGTCGCATCAACTTGGAGGCAAGGGAGATTTTTAAAAACCTGAATTGCAAAACGTCTAAGAAAAGTGGAAATGGCAACTACTAGTCGAGTTAAGGCTTCGCTTTCAAATTCTATAGAAAGAGGGCATAGATGTATTGATTGAGTCTTGCACAAAAATGTTTAGTATGACCATAAGAGGAAAGAATTTGATCACGGTTATTTTGAAGCATTTTCATTCTGTTTTATTCGTCAAGAATTTCATCGATGCTTTCTTTAGACATTGTTTGTAAATGGATTGTTTCATTGCTTAACTGGTGATAAAGTATTGATT